TTCAATTTAATTGTTAACCCCACCTACGGAATAATTTTGTCTCTAAAAGAAATTTCATGAAAATCTCGAAAATTTCGAAAATTTAAGTTTTCTTACTTATTTGCGAATATATTGTAATGAAATTGTACATTTTTTTTAGACCGCTCCCGTAATGTGAATCTACTCAGCTACATACATGCATAGCTTGTGCTACAATCCTTCTCTTGTAAATTAATACATGTGAACTTGTCCATTCAATTAAACTGTGAGCAATTAAATAAAATTGTGCAAACTTATTTAACTTTTCACTTAGAATCCAAACAAATTTCCGAATCTAAATCAAGAAAAAACTTACTAGGCAGGCGAAATAGAGGAACATCCAAGTTGATAAAACCTGTAGAGAAATTGCGTCCCGAAAATCGGAAGGATACCTAAAAAAAATTGAAGTTTAGTCTTTATAATTATTGAGTTAGAAATACTTCCAAATAGTAATTTATTTACCATCCAATTTTCCGCTGAAGATCTTTGTACAATCCTCGAAACAGTTTTCCTGACCTGGCCAGTGAGTCGTCTTGTTCTACTTGTTCACCCCCCGCATTTCCGCCATGGCCGTTGGTTTCATGCTCGTGAGGTTCTAACCTTATCGACGCATCCCAAATGGCCGGAGGAAGGATTGATGTCGTATTTAAAAACTGGTCAATCCCAGCTACCAACTCATCCCTAGACTCGGCACTGTATGCCAAATCTTTAAATCCTGGATCTGTCAGTAAAGTTCCCATTGCTCGTCCAATCTCCAAGTAATTTATGCCCTGGAAGATTGTCAAGTTTCCGGAGAAATTGTGTATTTTTCTAGAATATGAAAATCATGGAGACGTATAATTAATAAAAATGGGGAAACCTACCAAGTTGTCATCTTTTTCTTGTGGTTGATACACGACGGAAAGGATACTTCCACGCCGGGCTTGATCAGGGCGGAGGGAAGCTGAATTATCAAAAATGGTTTTTGCGAGGTTAAAATAACCTATTTTGCTAAATAGACAAATGCTTCCACAGGAAATATGTATGAAAGAGTGAAAATTAATTTTCAAGCAAGAAATTTTATGTTGTTGGTAACGATGCGAAATCGTGATGAATACTGTGGAATTATTATAGCCGGTCACCTCATATGCATATTTTGACGCATTCGCGAGAGACATAGAGTTAATTCAACACGGAAAGCCCGTATCAACTAAAATGGGCATAGTGAGATTTATGCAAATGAGGTGACACGCCTAAATGCGAGGATAATACCCTCATTGTTCAAGCTGGAGTTACCTTTTCGCGGCTTTGGGTTTGTTTTCCCTTTAAAAATTCGAGGAATTAGGGATGACGATTCCGTAGTTTCGTAAAGGTGAGCATGCGGTTTGAGCAGGGTTGAGAGGACTTTTGAGGACTCGGGTTCCCCAAGGGCTCTCTGGGATAGCCACTTGTCCACTAGAAGTTGACATGCTTCCTTCTCACTGCCACACACGAGGTTGAAATGAACTTGGCAATTGTTCTCCAAAATCCCGCGCAATTCGTTCAAGGCGCTGAGGTGAATGGCGGACACGTACGGTTTGCTCCATCGCTGACCACCTTCTTCAATGTCTTCTTCATACTTTACCCATCTATGCGAGAGGACGAAAGTAAGCTTTTTTTAAATAAATTAACCTTTTATAATGGACGGATTTATAGGATTTTACCCATCCATATATTCGGGTAAAATCGATGTACAGATTTACGTACAGTTTTGCGAATGGGGAAGAAATATAATTGGAAATTGATGTCATAAAATTTTAAAAGTTTAAAAAATAATTTAAAAAAATTTCAGAGAAAAATTACTTCATGATTTTTGATACTTTTAAATTTGGGATATTGTCAATTATAATTTTAAAATTTTAATGTCACAATTTTGTTATCGAATTTTATTAAGTAGCTGGCTTCTCTTAAAGACTGCATTTGTGTACAAATAAATCAGAAATATCGTCACTCCTGATTCCCGATTTTCTTCCAAATTTATAAAAATTCCAAGCTTAAGGGGTTAATGCAATGAGTAAGAAGGAGCTATTTCTTTACTTTTTTACCGGAAATTTTATTCCTGTCACAGACTCACCTTGCCGCTTCTCGCCACTCCTCCCTTCCTCCATCTCGGCAGAACTGCGCCATTTCGATGAACAGTGGATGCTCCCCCGAGGGGGGGAGGTCCTGATCAAAACTTGGCGAGTTTTTCATCGCTCTGCCAAAACCAGTGGAAAAATGAGACAATTTTTGGGACAAAGAATGATCCAAAGAATGCTCCTGGCCAGTGAATGATCCAGGATCCTGTTGCAGTTCATGGTTTTATGAGATTACTAATTTATCAAGGTTTTATACCTCTTGTCATTAATTGTGACTCGATTAAACGATGATATGCTTACATAAATAAATATTCTCATTCTAGAATTATCTTTATTCTTGTCCACTTTGGTAAACTAGTTTGGTGAAGATTTTTGCATCAAGTGATGAAACACCTGCAAATGGTAAAATTGGATAAAAATAGACAGGACAAAAAATTTGCAACTTAACGAACATGCAAGATGAAGATGATTATTGTATGCATTAAAGGATTACAGATATGTTAAAATAAGAGGCGTATGTATATATACATATGCACATACATACATATGTACGTATTTGGTAATCTCATTCTTGATAAAAATACCTGTCACTAATTTCTCTCACGGTTTTTGGGATTTTTATACCTTACATACATCAATGTGTATAAATGGATAAATCATTCAATCATTCTGTATAAAGATTTATGAGTAGTTCTTGTCTGGACATGTTATGTGTTTGAAAATACGAGTGTGTCATGCACACTTGTGAAGAAGGGTGTTACGGTTGTGTAAAAAGTTTTACAACAAAATATGGCCCGTCATCCCCACTTCTGTAACAATTACTATTGTATGAGTCTCCATTATGTACACTCTTAGCAACCTGGTAATAAAAAACAAGCGGAGTAGATATATGACTCTACCTTGACGGAAATAAAAACTTACACCATGTTGGTATAGATTTAGTAATAAAATAACACTTTTTGGTAATAATTTTAATACTAATTTGTGTTATTTTTCTACCATATAGTATTGTTTTAATACTAAATCATTACTATCGCGGTAGAGTCATATATGCACTCCGCGCAGTAATGATTCATTAAAATTTTGTTTAGAGTGTATGCACACAATTGTATCCACTTATATGTTTATACCTTTTACATTTGAATGGGTGGAATTGCGATTTTTTCACGTATCTTCAAATCTGATGAATAGTGATGCAAAAGAATTAAAAAATGATAAATGTATGTATTAATTGTGCAGCGCTATTTTTGTGCTTTAAATCTTTGTAAAGATAATAAACAGTCTTGTCGTGGGGGAATCATGGGTGAGATATTTGTTAAAGAAATAGTGATTATTTTATTTAATGTGCATGAGCAAAGTTGGAATTTAATGAGTAAAATATATGCTACAGATCAGTCGTATTTTGTTTGTAGGTGACAAACATGATTTCTGTGAACAAATTGTGTAATAAAACTTTTGGGACAAACCTGAGTATTTACATAATCGTGTTATATCTCCATGATAATTGTAGCATTAAGAAGGATTTTAGTAGAAAGGGGAGTAACTAATATTTACACATACATATTTGCTCATTGCTGAAAGTTCTGTGAAAAAGGAGGATGTCGAGTTGTGGATGGATTTGCATGCACTGGATTTGTAAGCAGGTGGTGGATGAGATAGTTTTGGGTGTACTCACGTTGTCCAGGTAAGGTCAGAGTTATACATAGATGAGGATTTTATGGTAATGTTATTTATCGAAATAAAAAACAAGTGGAAGAGTTAATGCAGATTTTGTATTTGCAAATTTTTCGAAGATATATAGAAACGTGTAACTACACACTTTCTCCAGAAATTATGTATTTATACGTTTGACGTAGTTTATATTTTGGAAATATTTTGGAGGTAAATGGGCATTTATTTGGCTGTACTTAAATATGCCGTTTGCAAATTTTTAATAAATATAGAAGCACATGAAATGTTTGGTTTTGTCGTTTTAGTGATACGTAAGGTGTGGTTCATAAGTCGTGGGACGATAATTCCCAAACTCCCCACGGGAGGGAAAAGCAATATTTTTTTGTCGGATATGTTTTCACTTATAAAGTAACTTATCTAGTTGCCAAGTTTTTTCACAAAAAGACAACATATAGGAGGGGGCGAAACTTGGAGTAAAAAAGCTACAACTTTTAGAAGAACGAGTTGTGCACTTTTACAGAAATGTCGTTGTTCTCGACAAGAATAACGAGCCCAACCACAATTTCTAAAAGTAAGGAATGTCAAAGCTATCTATTTATCGTATAATAGGAACGTTTGATACAACAAAATCACCCAAGTTAAAAAAAATTTCAAATATCTGAAATTATATATTTCGCGCAAGGGTCCAAGGTTTCCAAAATGGGCGGAATTTTCAAAATCGGTCTAGAACCGACCATATACAGTGAATTTTCAAACTCTACATGCTATTGCTTATGGCGAGGTCGGCCATTGTTGGAGCGCGAAAAAAAATACAATCAGATGGTATGTGTAGGTACTAACTAATACGGAAAATGCAAGTATTTGCAAAATTCCGCAAATTGCAAACCTTGGGTCAGTAAGTAAATATAGATCTAAAATAATTTTATAAAGAATTTTGTGACATCTGAATTTGTTACCATGACGGAGGTAATGATGGACACCACGGCGGGGGAGTTATATATGGATCCGGCTCGGTGTTGAAGTAACACCGAATTCGGACTATTTGCAGTGTACGAATTATTTTTATTCGATTTATCCCAACAGGTATTAATATTCATCTGATGAAGAGAAAAACTATTATTTTAACCTCACCCACCCGTCAATTTCCAAGATGAGTGATGAAGACTACGTTTTATAGTTTATCAATAATCTAACACATAATTATTAGGCACTATATCATTATTAAATTTCGGTAAATATTTATTAATTCATAAAAGTCAAATGGATTCGGTTAGATTCATGTAATTATAGGTCAAAAATTAATAATGGAAGTATTTAGTGAATCATATTTCTCCACAACCAGCCCCAAAAATCCAGCGACTTTTAAAGTCCAGCGACGTAATTCTTGTATTGGCCCAAGTTTCCCCCTCCATTGTCCAGACTGACGGTGCAGATCCCGCTAAAAGTGTTCTCATCGCTCTTGAGCGCCTGGCCAAGTCCGTTTCTGATCTCGACCGGCCCAATTCCTTGGCAGGTGAGGTACTCACAGCAGGGCACGTAGGTGAAGGACGACGGGTTGTCCGCCCTGTCCCGCTGCATGATACAATTCCGCCCAATGTGGGCACATTGCCCTGTATTAACCGATGTCCCGAGAGACATTCGAGCAGTGCGATGAGTACCTAGGAAATATGAAATATTTCTTATAATTCTTGTCCCAAATTCGGAATTCGTGTATGTATCAGTAAGATATTACAAAATTTATAGTTAATTACCTTTAACCGGAAATTGGATGAATGTAAAGGTTGCACCCTGACCAAGACCACACATCGATGCCACAATCAAATATAAAAATATAGCTGGTTTGACTTCCATTGCAGAATACGCAGCGGCCGGTTTCTAATTAATTTTAAATCTGCGCAAAACAATGGAATTATTAGAAATTGTTATTAGAAACTGTCTAGGACGAAGTGTTTTGGACGGGAATAAAGGAAAACTTTAGAAAGGGAGGAGAATTAATTGAAACTAAATTATTTTACCTTTATGTGGAAATCTTCCCCGAACTTTTGTACGGCTTGGGAGGGTCTTGTAGGCTTGAAGTAGAAGCGAGCAAGGGACTGATGTTGCCGTTGGTGAGGCATTTTATACTCTGGTTGGATTATTTGGAACCATTCGAGCTTTTCTAAGAAATAAATTTGGGACGGATTTGAACCGGCGAGTTGGGAAATGGATTAGAAGAAGGGTGCTTTTTTTAATTTAGGAGGTTAGAGGGTTCCTTCTTTCTGAGAACCAAGAGAAAGTTAAGTCGACGTGAAGTCAGGTACTCAATACGATATTTTTATCTTTGTACCTTTTTGATTATGTACTAATTCCACGGAAAACGGTTTAATATGGGTTGAAAATTTTGGATTTTGAAATTCATAATTATGTCAATATAGTAATGGTCATAATTTTCCTCTGCTCCTCTGAGTTTCTCTGCCCTTGTTCACCGCATTTTTTAGTTTTCAAGATAAATTCGTTCATTTTTCGGAGTCGAAATTAGACAGCACTTTTCGCAATACTGTCTCAACATTTTTGCTCTCACTTATTATTTTTATATGCAAAATGGAGTTTGAATTTCTTCCGGATGGTTCAATCTTATATGGATGGGGAGTACATATTACACTTGCATTTCATTAAATTTGTAAAAAGCAACTTGTTCCTGTGCATACAAATCATACAACTTTTTGTGTAAGATATTCTCCAGTGCATTAAAATCACGGTTACCTGACAACGCTAGTCTATTCAGTTGCGACAAAAGGTGGAATTTTCATCTCGTCCAGAGGATCGCAGTGACATAATTAGAAATTAAAAAACCACACCCCCTGTGGGTGTGGCCATCGACCCCCGCCGAATCTTGCCAAACCATGGCATGCGACACATCATTTTTTTCATCTCGCCAAGGCGAATGCGGAGGCATCAATCGATTTTAAAAAAACACCCCCTTTGGGTGTGGTTGTCGACTCCAGCCGAATCTTGACACACTGCGGCAGGCGACATATCATTTTTTTCAGCTCGATGAGAGGATCTCGAGTGAAATACAGAAACTCAGACACTGCAACCCCTGCGGGTGTGGTTATCAGCGACTCTTCGACTTTATGGAAATCACGTGATAAATCATTTTGTTCCGCTGGATGAGTAGATCTCGACGGAAATATAGAATTTCATAAACCACACCCAACGTGGGTGTGGTCATTTTCGACTTTTCGAATTAGATTAAACCATGTCACGTGATGTATAATTTTTCTCATCGATGACTTCCACCCGCAATAATGCTCAAAACTGAGAATCGATGAAGATGGAGTTAACGCACTGATATTAAATGGGCAACACGTGTGAAGGGAAAATCAGCACAGACACGTAAATAAGTCCTGTAAGTTATTTTTTGACATGAGTAGTTCAAAATTGGTCCAGGCAGAGTTGGGGAAAACAGTCCTATGCATGTCTTCAATTTTTACTTCACCCGTATTTTATGTTGTTTAAATTTTGATATTAGAAACAATATTTAATTATTTGGTACGTTGAGTTTAGATACTTGGAGATAAATAAGTCTGAGTTCTGGCTTGAGATCGGAGAGTATTTTGGAAACACTAGAATTCAGCAGATATACTCTCTTCTTGATTGATATGGTCAAATTGCCAAGGCGCATGCAAATATGATAACTAAAAATAATGATTCCAGAACTCAAGCCTGCTATAAAACATGGTGCAGGAATTTGAGAACAAATTGCTTGTGGAATTAAGCTGGTCAACACTTGATGAAGTAAGGAACATCTGGATAGCCAAACCTCTTTGGCGTTTTATTAAAAACAGGCTGCGTGAGATAATCTTCAAATTCTAGAAGAATTATATTAATCATTTTATATTTCGACTGCGTATTATTTAATATATATTCGTGGGAATCTTGAATACTTTGATATGCATCATAGTGTTCTAAATTTTAATAATTAACTTTAGATCCCGGCATCCAGATGAGAAAAATGCAAAAGCATACGACCTGGGTATGATTGTATCAAAACGTCGCCGTTAACCACACCCACTGGGTGTGTGGTTTATGAACCTACATACTTCAGATGAGATTCACTCATCCAGCTGAGCAAAATGATATTTCACATGATCTGGTTAATTTAATTCGAAAAGTCGAAAACGACCACAGCCACAGGGGGTGTGATTTTTAAAATTCGAATTATGCCTCAGATTTCGACATTGGAGCTGAGAAAAATGTCAAGATTCGGCTGGAGTCGACAACCACACCCAAAGGGGGTGTGTTTTTTTTTAAATTCGATTGATGCCTCCGCATTCGCCTTGGCGAGATGAAAAAATGATGTGTCGCATGCCATGGTTTGGCAAGATTCGGCGGAGGTCGATGGCCACACCCACAGGGGGTGTGGTTTTTTAATTTCTAATGATGTCACTGCAATCCCCTTGGCGAGCTGAGAAAAATGATATGTCGCATGCCGTGCTTGGATAGGGTCTTGAAAAAAGCGCTGATGGCCACGCCCCCCGTCGCCATGGGGTCACCTACAATATCAAATCGCTAAAAAGAAGGACGTGGGTACGATAGTGCGCGGTGGCGACGTCAGAAACCATGTCGGGAAGGAATTTTTTGTGGCTTTAATTCTTGATACTTTACTTTGGACCACTCCCACAATGACTCCGAAGCAAGGGGTGTGACCAACTGGTCGCCAATACGACGCCCTGACTATTTCAGGCATTTCCGCCAAGAATTTACGTCGGGGACCTTCGAATACGGTCGTAGAAATTTTAAATTCAATAAAGAAATGCTACTTGTTTTTTGACCTTGTGACCTTGATAACGGGTGGGTGGGGACGAATTTCAAAAATCTGAAATTATATATTTCGCGCAAGGGTCCAGGGTTTCCAAAACGTGCGGAATTTTGAAAATCGGTCAAGAACTGACCTTACGGTGAATTTTCAAACTCTACATGTTATTGCTTATGGCGAGGTCGGCCAATTTGCCTTTCAGAATTATTAACATTGGCCGATGTTCTACACTTTCTGGATCGACCATAATACCTACTTAGAACCATACGGTATTACATATCAATACCATTTTGGTAGAGTCATATATTAATACTGGTTGGCATTGATTTAATACTGGATTTCTGGATTTCAATCTAATTTTTTGAAAGTTATATCGAAAATTGACTTAATACCTAATGATTGAGCTTAACACCTAAAGCCCGTTCCCTCCGAATTGTTTTATCGGCTCGGATAGCTTCCAAGGTTCCTGCATCATCCAATTCAGATCTCTTTCCCGCCACGATGTCCCACATCACTGACAAAATTGCAGGTTCGAAAACGTGTTCGAAGGTAAATTTCGGCTGTGACGTTGCCTTTGACAACACAGCTGTTAATTGTAAAATGTAGGGTTGGTCTATCCGATCCGAGAATATCCGATCCGTCGGATCGGATCGGATAATCGTCGGATCGGATCGTAAATAAAAATATCCGAGAGCTTTCGGATCGGATCGTAAATAAAAATATCCGAGAGCTTTCGGATCGGATCGGATAAGGCTATTTATCCGATCGGATCAATCCGACGGATACTTCGGATATCGGATAATCTGTATTTAATATAATTCGGCACTCTATTGGTGACTTGCGAAATTATTCTCCCTTGAAATGCGTAAATTCAAATGTTGTTACAACTGACAACTGTTTAGCATAATTAATTAGTGTAATCTATTGCAATTTCTTACTATTTTTAAACAAAGTATCTCACACATCAAGATTTTATGTAATACGCATTCTAGTTTTAACATCAGGTAATTAGATAATGCTAATTAATTGCTTTACGTATCAATTGACGCAAAGTTATTAATTACTTATTACAATTACATTACCATAAAGTACTTAGAGCGCATTATCAGTTAAAATACTGATTAATTTTGCCTTGAGTATTGTTCCATACAGTTAATGAAGTAATTAATTACAAAAACAATTGTTACTAATTACCAGCTAATAATTATTATGTGCTTTTGTAATTAATTACTACAGTACTTAGCTAAATAAGTTAATTATTCAGCAAAAAAAATTAATCTTTAGCGGATTTGATTGTCTTTTAAAAATGTACGGATCATTATCCGATCCGATCGGATATCCGTCGGATTGCTCGGATTCGGATCGGATCGGCCCTAATATCCGATCGGATTATCCGACATGATGAAATATCCGATCCGATGGACTGTCTATCCGATCCGATCCGTCGGATAACCAACCCTAGTAAAATGTAGTATGTATGAAAATGTTTTATGTGAGTATAATTGCCCCGTCATGTGGTGGTGGTTGCCATGGTGACGTCGAGAGGGGGAAAGTAGTACGAGTCGTTCTTTGTCGTTTACTATCCATCTATCATGTCATGTCAGTAAATTCTGATACCAAGATCAACTTAATTTTCGACTTGATAATTTCATTCAACATATGTAAATTGGACTTAAAAGCGACCCCAGCATTCAGAACAGACCGAGACTGGGCTGTCGTACTGATAAGGGGTGCCGCGGGCACCACCAAATCGCCTAGTTTATTAGAATATTATATTCTTAAATTTCTTTATTAACAATAAAGTTTTAATTAAAACAATTTAAACAAGAATTTCCATATCCCATATCTTATTTTATTTTTGTGTTTATGACAATATCGATTAGAAGAGTATTCAAATGCGGAAAGTTATTGCATTGCTGACGGCAATATTTCTATGAAAATGTGGTCATACCTGTCTACACACCTAATAATAAATTAACCGTGTGTGTCGTAAGTTCCTCGTAATATTTTATTCTTATGGATCTCTCTAACTTAATTAGTGTAAAATTTCCCACCCCACCTCGAATTTGAAGGATTCGCAATGATTTGATACTTTTACGAAAAATCTTCCCTTCCAGTTGACCATCAACGATGCAGTTTGTCCACGTACTTAACAAGTTTTCCGATCTCTCCTGAACATATAGCGCAATGTTGAACGAAACGTGGATAAAGATCACGGTGACGAAAAAGATACCCGGAAAGAACTCATGCACAGGGAAGTGGGATCGCATCTTGATCGAGATGTATGCCATCAAGGGCGCCAAAAATAGCCCGATCGTCATT